AAAGTTTTGGAAATGGGTAGTGGCGATCCTTGCATACAAGACAGTGAACGTACTTAATGTCACCGAATTGTATGCTTAACGGCTAAGATGGTAAATATCTTACTACAATCAAAAAATTAACTTTAGGGGCGCCTGGGTGCCTTGGCCGGTTAAGTGTCCAACTTCGGCTCAGGTCACGATCTCACGGTCTGTGAGTTCGAGCCCCGCGTCGGGCTCTGTGCTGACAGCTCAGAGCCTGGAGCCTGTATCTAATTCTGTGTCTCCCTCTCTCTCTGCCCCTCCCCTGTTCATGCTCTGTCTCTCTCTGTCTCAAAAATAAAAATAAACGTTAAAAAAAATAAAAAAAAAATTAATTTTAAAGACTGGGCATGGGGCGCCTGGGTGGTGCAGTCGGTTAAGCGTCCGACTTCAGCCAGGTCACGATCTCGCGGTCCGTGAGTTCAAGCCCCGCGTCAGGCTCTGGGCTGATGGCTCAGAGCCTGGAGCCTGTTTCCGATTCTGTGTCTCCCTCTCTCTCTGCCCCTTCCCCGTTCATGCTCTGTCTCTCTCTGTCCCAAAAATAAATAAACGTTGAAAAAAAAAATTAAAAAAAAAAAAAAAAAAAAAAAAAAAAAAAAAAAAAAAAAAAAAGACTGGGCAGAAGACTCGAGGAGACATTTCACCAAAGAAGACATACAAATGACCAATAAGCACCTGAAAAGGTGCTCAGCATCCTCAGTCATTAAAGAAATGCAAATCAAAACTACAGTGGGACACCGCTACACGTCCATTATAATGACTATAATCAAAGAGACAGAGAAGTCTCATATATTGCTGATGAGATCGTAAAATGTGTAGAGCCACTTTGGAAAATTATTCGGCTATGTTTTAAAAAGTTAAACATACGCTTACTGTAAGACTCAGTCAGCAATTCTACTCCTAGTAATTTACCCAAGAGAAATGAAACCATGTCCACACAGGCTTATATAAGCAAGTGTTCACAGCAGCTAAAACCTGGAGACAATCCAAATGTCCATCAATTAATGGATGGATAAGCAATATGTGGCATATCCATACAGTAGGATACTACTCAGACATAAAAGGAAATGAACTACAGGCATTCCTTGTTTTATTGTGCTTCCCAGACACTTCAGTTTTCTACAAACTGAAGGTTTGTGGCAACCCTGTGTTTAACAATTCCACTGGCGCCATTTCTCCAACAGCATTTGCTCACTTTATGCTTCTGTGTCATATTTTGGTAATTCTCACAATATTTCAAACTTTGTCATTATTATTATACTTTTTATGGTGATCTGTGATCGGCGACCTTCGACGTTACTACAGTAATTGTTGTGGCATGCCACAAACTGCACCCATATAAGACAGTGAATTTAACGGATAAATGTGTGTGTGTTCTGACTGCTCCACCAACCAGCCATTCCTCCATCTCTCTCCCTCTCTTTGGGCCCCCCAATTCTTTGAGCCACAACAGTACTGAAATTAGACCAACGAATAAGCCTTCAATGGCCGCTAAGTGTTCAAGTGAAAGGAAGACTCGCATGTCTCTCACATTAAATCAAAAGGAGAAATGAAGAAACTTGGTGAGGAAGGCATGTCGAAAGCCAAGACAGGCCAAAAGCTAGGCGTCTTGTGTCAAATGGTTAGCCAAGTTGTGAACGCAAAGGAGAAATTTTTGGAGGAAATTATAAGTGCTACTCCGATGAACACTCAAATGATAAGAAAGCCAAAGGGCCTTGTTACTGATATGGAAAAAGTGTGAGTCATCTGGACAGAAGATCAAACCAGTCACAGCATTCCCTTAAGCCAAAGTCTAACCCAGAGCAAGGCTCTAACTCTCTCCAATTGTGTGAAGGCTGAGAGGTGAGGAAGCTGCAGAAGAAAAGTCTGAAGATAGCAGAGATTGATGTATGAGGTTTAAGGAAGGAAGCCATCTCCATAACATAGAAGTGCAAGGTGAAGCAGCAAGTACTGATGTAGATGCTGTAGCAGGTTATCCAGAAGGTCTAGCAAAGATAATGAATGAAGGTGACTATACTGATCAACAGATTTTCAATGTAAATGGAACAGCCTTATATTGAAAGAGGATGCCATCTAAAATTTTCATAGCTGGAGAGGAGAAGTCGGTGCCTGGCTTCAAGGCTTCACCCCCTGTTAGGGGCTAAAAATGCAGCTGGTGACTTTCAGTCGAAGCCAATGCTCATTTACCATTATGAAAATCCTCGGGCCCTTAAGAATTATGATAAGTCTACTATGTCTGTGCTCTATAAATGGAACAACAAAGCCTGGATGACAGCACATCTGTTCACAACATGGTTTATTGAATATTTGGAGACCATTGTTGAGATCTGCTGTTGAGAAAAAAAAGATTCCTCTCAAAATATTACTGCTCATTGACAGTGTATCTGGTCATCCAAGAGCTCTGATGGAGATGTACAATGAGATTTATGTTGTTTTCATGCCTGCTCATACAACATCCATTCTGCAGCCAAAGGATCAAGGAGTACTTCCATTATTTAAGAAATACATTTCATAAGGCTAGAGCTACCACAGACAGTGATTCCTTCTGGAAATCCATCTGGAAAGCATTCACCATTCTACATGCTGTTAAGAGCATTTGTGATTCATGGGAAGAGATCAAAATATCAACAAGAACAGAAGCTTGGAAGAAGTTGATTCTAACCCTTGCGGATGACTTTGAGGGGTTCAAGACTTCATTGGAGAAGGTAACTACAGATATGGAAATAGCAAGAGAACTTGAATTAGAAGTGGAGCCTGAAGATGGGACTGAATTGTTGCAATCTCGTGAAAAAACTTCAACAGATGAACAGCTCCTTCTTATGAGTGAGCAAAGAAAGTCTTTTTTTGAGATGGAATCTACTCCTGGTGAAGATGCTATGAAGATTGTTAAAATGACAACAAAAATTTAGAATATTACGTAAACCTAGTTGATAAAAGTTTTGAAAGAAGTTCTACTGTGGGGAAAAGAGGATCAAACACCATCATATGCTACAGAGAAACTGTTCATGAAACAAGAGCCAATTAATGCAGCAAACTTCATTACTGTCTTGTTTTAAGAAATTGCTGTAGGCACCCCAACTGTAGCCACCACCACCCTGATCAGTCAGCAGCCATCAACACTGAGGCAGAACGATTACGACTCATGGGAAGCTCAGATGACGGTCGGCATTTTTTAGCAGTAAAATATTTTTAATGTTTTTTAATGTTTATTTATTTTTGAGAGAGGGAGAGGCAGAGCACGAATGGGGGAGGGGCAGAGAGAGAGGGAGACACAGAATCCGAAGCAGGCTCCTGGCTCTGAGCTATCAGCGCAGAACCTGATGCGGGGTTCGAACTCATGAACTGTGAGATCATGACCCAAGCTGAAGTCGGATGCTTAACCGACTGGGCCACCCAGGCACCCCACGATAAAGCATTTTTAAATTAAGGTATGTACACTTTCTTGGCATAATGCTACTGTACACTTAATAGATTACAGGATAGTGTAAACATAACGTTTATATGCACTAGGAAACCAAAACATTCATTTGACTTGCTTTATTGTTATATTCGTTTTATTGCGGTGATCTGGAAGCGCACCTGCCAGATCTCTGATGTATGCCCGCACTGATACATGCTAGAATGTGACTGAACCTCAGAAAGATCATACTAAGTGAAAAAAGCCAGTTGCAAAAGACTTCATATCCTAAGACTCCATTTATATGGAATTTCCAGAAGAGACACGTTTATAGAGACTGAAAACAGTTTAGTGATTGCCCAGGCCTGGGGTACAAGTAGAGATTGACGGCAAAGAGACCTATAAAAATTTTCAGGGTGGGGCGCCTGGATGGCTCATTTGGTTGAGCGTCTGACTTCGCCTCAGGTCATGATCTCATGGTTTGGTTCGTGAGTTCGAGCCCCGCGTTGGGCTCTATACTGACAGCTCGGAGCCTGGAGCCTGCTTCGGATTCTGTGTCTCCCTCTCTCTCCGCCCCTCCCTTGCTTGCATTCAGTCTCTCTGTATCTCTCTTAAAAATAAATAAACATTAAAAAAAATTTTTAAAAAAAGAAATTTTCAGGGTGATGGAAATGTTCTACAACTGAGTTGGGTTGATGGTTGCACAACAGTATAAATTTCCTAAAAATACTGAATTGTACACTCATACTGGGTGGATTTTTGTGCCTTATAAATTATACATCAATAAAGTATTAAAAAGTAAATAAACACAAATCTGACATGGAAAAAAATAAGGCTTAATTTCAGGAAGCATAAGTCAGGTACAATCTCTATGACTTGAAGCAAAGGTTTTCCTTAATCTATCCACATATCTTTTATTTATATATTTAAAAATTACATGTGAAGGATATCAACACTGTTCAGTGTGAAAACTCAGGCCCTAAACAATCTTAAGCTTCTGCACTAAATAGTGTGGTCCCTGTGATTATTCAATAAATAGCAGTACATTTACAAATTTTAAAAATTTAGCCACTACTGGCCTTTCATTGGGCTCATTTCAAAGAAAAAAATAAAGCAATAAAAGTGAAGTCTGAGAAGCAATCCAAATGCATAAATTGTTTGAATAATAAACTGAATTATATGTAATCATTATGACCTAGAAACATTTAATCTGAAGCAGCAAAGGCTGGCCTAGTAATTGACTTAATAGCTGTCTTTGACAATATGAAGGGTTTTACAGGGAAACTATTTGACTAGTTCTTCTGCCTCTTCATTGAGAGCCGAACAAAACGAAGAGATTTCATAGTCAGCAAGGTAAATTTAGATTAAACATAAATGACACTGACAGTAACTGCTATCAAATACTGAAATAAATTTAATTGGGCTATTTGCTCAAGCGGGTTTCCTTGGCGAAAGCTAGAATACACAGCCCGAAAGCTTTGGTCTGAATGCATTACTGCCTGGCAGGCAAGAATTCCGCCTGCTGAGCCCCTGCAGGTCTGTGGGAAGGATCGCGGCCACGCTGACTTGCACACACCTTACTCACCTCAATATCCCGATTGAGTTGCTTCACTATGGCAGTGATGTTTCTGATGTGCTCCTCCAAGAAAAGCCTGGCCAGGCGGTCACCTCCCCCTTTGTTTTGCATTTTCTGCAAACTGCTGACAATGTCGTCTTTAATCCTGAAGGCGTGCTCCACAAGGGCAGCGGTTGTTTTCTCGTGGCAGAGGATTCTATCTTCCAGTTGTTCCACTAGGCTTACAGATGAGTAGGGTGCCATGGTCAGGGACTGGCTGTGTCGGGGCATGGTTCTAACTCGCCTGTGCAAGGGAGCCACATTACTAGGGTTGTTAATTGGGGAAAAGTAATTTTCAAAGCCAGAGTCAAGACTTTCCAGAGAAGGAAATGCCAATTATTTATCCCTACAAGCTAAACAGGGTTTGAGGGAGGGTTTCTGCACCAAAGAGTTTTCCTTGTGAGCCAGGAAACTTTAAACAATCATACGCAGACACTTCAGTGTGTTGGTAGTAGGTTCCATGACCGCCAAAATCAAGAGGCTGGTGGAATTGGGCACACAGATGTCTCCCCAGTTGAAGCTGTGTTATCAAGACTAAGCTGTATCATCGAAGTCAAGTCTCCTGACATGCCCTCCTCCTCCATTCCCCTACATCAGTTTTCTAACATACTAACAAACTCAAAGGCCTACAAGGGTTAAGCAGCTAACATAAATGAATGGTGCATATCACATATGATCGGGAGGGGACTGCGGAGACCTGGAAAGGGCATTCCTCCACTAAAGGCAGCCCCAGTTCTGCCCCATCCATGAGTAACCATCTGGGGATGTGGGTCTATTTTTCCAGATCATCTCATATTTTAAGAATAGCCGGGAAATTCAGACTTGTATGTGAAATCACCTGACTTTTAAATGTTAACAAGTCATTTAAAAAGTATTTTAAGATAATGCAGGCCAAACAGTGCGCTTCCATGAGCCAGTTCTGGTCTATGGACCCCCAATCTGCAACTTCTGATTTAAAAGGGTTAGTGGGACACTAGTCTCCAGGCCTCCCCAGTTGCGTTTTACCAGTGACCAGAAGTACAGCTGTACTGCAGGGCTATTATGAGGTCTTCACGTCTCACTATCGCTGAGCAGCCAACAGCATTCTACACAATGGAAGCTGGAGAGGGAACACAACTGTACTTCTATTGCCCTTGAACAAAATCATCCTTGGGTAATGTAACAGCCACAAGCCTTCATTTATAATAACCATCACACCCACTAGCAGCCCTCATGGGATTGGTGGAAAGGAAAAGTATACCTTAGATGCATATTTTCCATATATTATACCTTTCCTCGGTGACGAGAGAAGGAAATACAGGGCACCATCGGGCCATTTTCTTTTTAATAATTCACATCTGTTGAAAAAAATAAGCATTAAATTATTTAACAGTTTATATCTGGAATTTAAATGACGTCTAAAGCTTATTATTAACTTACTAAGTGGATCGTAAATTATGCCAACACACCAATCAGTTGTATTATTAAATGTCTTCTATCTTACGTACGGAATAAACAGCAAATGCTTCTAAATAAGGAGAAAAGAATCAAGCAAAATCAAAATTAATACTACGAAGCCTTGCTAGACAGATCAACAAAGACTGTTAAGTGGGTTTTCCTGAAGTTTCCTCATTCCGTACCTGCATGTCAAGCTTGAGAAACCCCTTTTAGGGAAACAAGATAGTTTCTTTAACAGGCTTTTTCAATCATGTAAGGTAGGAAACTACCTTAGTAAATGTGAACTCAGCAAATTTAGTAAACTCCATAGCAAATTAAAAGCACTTATTTCTAAATCAATCTTAAACAATACATCAATCAGATCTGACTGACTTGGGGAACCTATCTATCCACTAAGAGAATAAGATTGATATTTATTAAAACTGTACAATAAGATATCATCATTCATATTATTCCTTGCATATAAGGAACAGTTGATCATCCCAGCACACTAGAAATTTGAACAAAACTGGAGAGTTTTTAAAATATTTTCTTACTTGAGTTTCTCAATACTGCTGTTAATTGCCTTAACACAATGAATGCCTAGTAACCATGATCTGATTCAGTAATTAGTTCTCATTTAGATGCTGGATTCAGAGAGCATTTGTGATTGAAACCACTGTTTTGGCATCATCTCCCCAGTGTGTTATTTTTAGAGTTTCAAAACGCGAACATTTCATTTTCCTAGACAAAGAACTTTGAATTTAAAGAAATTACATTTAAGAAAAAAGTGATTCATGCCAAACAAGTTGTGATGCCAAAGGACTTCTTCAGTTCTCAAGATAATAATCTGTCATTTAGATTACATGAAATCAGGCCAGTGTGGAAGATGTTAGTATTTAGAATCATAGAATCTTTACCATTTAAAAGTTGTAATATACCTTAGTTGAGATATTAATCTATAGAATAGCCTAACCTACGAAACATTTATTTGGCATCTGTTTTGCAGCTGAGTAACCTAAATGTGTAAGACCAAAAATACCCTCCCCCTCAAGGGTTTCACAGCCTACAGAGAAACAATGGGATAAATGGCTATGAACGAAAAACACATAGGGAGGAAAAAAGAAGATGCCTTACTGTTTCCTGGGTAGCAGCAGGTCAGGGAGGAACTAAGGAAAATGAATAGGATTTCCCAACGTGGAGAACAGAGAGACTGTTCCACACCTTCCCTCAATATTCTAACACCACCTGTACTTTCCACGCTCTTGGAACACTCTGGCATAGGCCCCTCTCCCAGCTCCATATGGGGCCACTCCAGCCAATGCCAGCCCCCCCCCCCCCCCCCCCCCCCCCCGCAATGCCACGCCACCCACCACGGTCCGTGAATATGTCATGCACTCTTCTGCCTTCATACCTTTGTCCATGAGCTCTATATCACAAACACCCTTCTCATCCCTGCCTGCCTAGAAAACTCCTATTCATCCTTTAGGCCTCACCTGCCTGCCCCTCAATTCAATAAAATGGCTCCCTTGTTTGTATTTCTTCAGCACTTATTCTGTATGTCTTATACTACTTATTACACCCTATTATTTTTAGCCATGTAATATTTCATCTCCCTTAAACTACATGCTCCTTAAAGGCATATTTCAAATCATAATAGACATAGAGCTGACCTAGAAGATTCCATACGTGCCTGTTAATGGGAGCATGACTTGCATTCCAGTGTCAGAAACTGTAGCAATGAAGGCATTAGAGAATGTTTCAGTTAAAAAGCATAGTTCTTTACTGAGACTGCATCCCAAACAGCCACTTCATATAATTATTTGCAAATAAATGGAGACTTTTGGAATCTCCTTTCCTGAAGGGCATTTCATCCCTCTGGAATTATCCCGCCTGAGCCACAGAAACCCAGCCACATTTCTGAAAAAAAGAGTCTATCCACCACCCATTGTCTAAGATTGCTTTTCAGAATAAACCTATTACCAAGCACTATGCACTCTCTACAACGGGAAATGTCACCTGGCATGAATTCACAACACGCACTGAGGTCCGTTCAGAACTGGTGCCCTCTGCATGACATATGGTAGGAATTGGTTTATGTTAGTTTTCTTGGTTGGTTAGTATCACGATCCTTTGCCAGAACAATGGGATCTATATTGCAAATGAATAAAGATTAAAAATAAGCAAGTCACAGGGTTAAATAACTTCCCAAAGATCATTTCCAGATCTTCCCATTGTCAATTCTGGCTTATCTGCCTGGGGTCATCAGTTTCTGCACATTTATAAATCTGAACTCCAGCACCACAAGTGGGTCTACAACATTATTGGGCAGATCCGGGTTGTATACTGCTCTGACTGTGCTGTGTTTTGCTGTAATAATATTAATCTCCAGTATGAGTTTAAAAAACTTGGGGAAATTAGGAGAAGGGGCAGGTAAACAAGAGAGAAAAAGAAGTGAAAGAAATAAGAAAACATAAAACCAGGGGCACCTGAGGGGCTCAGTCGGTTGAGCATCTGACTCTTGATTTCTTTTTTTTTTTTTTAATTTTTTTAATGTTTATTCATTTTTTTGAGAGACAGAGAGAGACAGAGTGTGAGCAGGGGGGCAGAGAGAGGAGACATACACAGAATCGAAAGGCTCAGGGGCTCTGAGCTTGCGTCAACACACCAGAGCCCGATGCGGGGCTCGAACCCACAGACTGTGAGATCACGACCTGAGCTGAAGTCAGCCGCAGCAACAGTTAGGCTGCCCAGGTGCCCCCTGACTCTTGATTTCTGCTCGTCTCCCACCGGTCGTAAGGATCGAGCCCCACATCAGAGCTCATGGCATGTGGAGCCTGCCTGGAAATTCTCTCTCTCTCCTCCTCTCCTCTCCTCCTCCTCCTCCCTCTGCCCCTCTCCCCCAACTCACACTCTTTCTCTAAAAATAAAATAATATAGAGCAGCCTGGGTGAAGCAGTATTCCAGTTAAGCGTCACGACTTCAGCCAGGTCCGCGATCTCCGCGGTCTGTGGAGTTGAGCCCAGCGTCGAGAAGCTCTAGGCTGATGGCACCGAACCTGGAGCCTGTTTGTTCTGTGTCTCCCTCTCTCTCTGCCCCTCCCGGGGCATGCTCTGTCTCTCTCTGTCCCCCCAAAATAAATAAAAGCGTTGAAAAAAAATTTAAAAAATAAAAAATAAAATAAACCAATAATAATAATAAACAAGAAAAAAAAGGAAAAAGTGAAAGTAAAATCGCAACGCTCCAAATATGCAATATACCTATACCATTTGGTTGTTCACACAAGAGTAAAGGGTATTATCTAAACCAAAATAATTATTTGGGATTACAAGGATTCTTATTGGGTAGAAATACCTACAGTATCACTTAATGTAAAATGATATATGATTTTTATAAGTTAAAATGACAGGTTTTACTGAAAAATTAAATTCTAATCATAAAAATATTTAGTTTTTCAGTTTACTATTAAAATACAGCACTGAGGGGCGCCTGGGTGGCGCAGTCGGTTAAGCGTCGACCAGCTGAGTCCGCGATCTACCATGATCCCATGGTGACTTTTAGCATGGACTCTGGTGATGATAAACCAGAACCTGTTTCCGATTCACAATGTCTCCTCTCTCTCTGCCCCTTCCCCGTTCATGCTCTGTCTCTCTCCCAAAAATAAATGAACGTTGAAAAAAAAAAAATCTTTAAAAAAAAAAAATACAGCACTGAAGTGCAGCGTGTCAGAATTTTTTTAAAAAATAGGCAAAGCATGTATGAATAAAGGGGTTGTAACCTGGTGGTAGGGGGGAAAGCCTATTTTCTTATAGTTAAAAATACAGGGAAAGGATAGAGAGCAGAGAACAGCGGAAGGTGTGTCTAGAAAGACGGGTAGGAGGGAGTAGAGCTCTAACCCACCTCAGGGCCTGAGACTTTGTCCTGGGGCAGTGTGGGGACGGGCAGCGCGGCTGCGCCAGGGCTGGGACTGGGAAAGGCAAGCTACAGAGGGGTGGAGGGTCTAGAGAAGGGAGAGGTCCCTTGGACCAGAACTCAGCTCGGAAGGGCGGGGCCTGGGGGAGGAGCTTCTTCCTTCCTTACTATTCCCACTCTTCTCCTGGCCCCGCTCTGCCTGGGCTTTCTCCACTTTCTTTTCCTTTTTTACCCCTCAGGGCTCTCCCTGCAATTTCCTTGGCCCTTTCCTTTTCCTTAACTCCCCATTCTCGCTGCTCATTTTCCTTCCCCCTACTGCCTGTGCTTCCCTCCTTCTGCTTCGTGCAACCGCAGACAACAAAATTCTCTAGCGTGGACAGCACGGGCACCGAGGTCAGAAAAACCCTTATCTGAATCCTGGCTTCTCCGCTAACAATACGATCTTAGCAGGCTGGCCTTACCTTGTTGGGCCAGCGACCTCATAAAGAATAGCTGCTCATTCTAACCAAGTGTTTACCCATATCAGGCACTCCTGGAGCACATTTATATGCATTAGTTGAATTCATCCTCAGAGTCGGTGAAGGGGCTGCGCTTATCGCCATTTAACCAAAGGAAACAGAAATGTTCAGCAAGTGGCCCAACCATACGTGGCCAGGAAAGAACAGAGCAGGGAACCTAGGGCCTCCTCCTCTTCCTCCCCAGGCATTAACCACTGAAGGATTATGGGGAATCCAGAACGTGGTCTGGCCTTAGGGCACTGAATGCGCTTCCAGTAAGGGCTGGTTCCTTTCCCTTCCCTGGCTGACGCACATCTGATAGAAAATACATCCATTGCTAAAAATAAAACTTTATATAAATGGCTCAGCAAATAGTACTCATTTGTTTAAGGAGGGAGATATGATATTGTTTACTATGTGGGGCTAGTGGGGAAA